AGACACCCAGCAAACATGCAGATGTCTAAATAAAAGTATCTTAATCTGAGGTTTAACCTTGCACAAAGACATAAAATTCAGTAACTCCAGAAGTTAAGATTCAAGTGCAAATAGTTGCTGTTAACTCCTTATGCCTATTAATTCACCGTAATTCTCTCATTTGTATACAACTTATAATCTTTGAAAAGAAATGTCAGCATAGGAATTCAAGGAGCAATATACACTAACTTTCTGTGAAATTGTAAATCTGAATTTTGCTGCAGAACTTGCATCTGTGAACTAATTTTCTGTGTTTTAGGTCCTGTACATATTGAAAAAGTTGCCCACTTGGCACTGAAAATTCTTTGAAGCAGGAGCTTCAAAATGTGAAAGCTTTAGGCTAGGACACCTAGAAGAAAGACTTGATATTTTATCAAGATCTTGATTTGAGATTGAGATGTAAAAACATTGTGGCAATTTTTCTTTCAGAACACTAGTACTGCTTCTCCTGCCTCTCCAGGAATTTTCCCTAAAAACTGCAATGCATACACTATGTACACCTTTCCTAAAACTATGAATGGTACTGCTTCCTGTCAGGGTGTTATGCACTGGGTGGCCATTTTATGCACATGGATCATGGAAATAATTTGTTCTAATGCAGGTGGTTTTGACTAACCAACACTGGTTTCCCATTGCTGTTTTAATAGGAAAAACATCCCTTAGCACTGGAAGTGGAACTTAAAACTGCAAGAATGGCATCAAGGAACATTACATTTTAATTTTATTGAAGACTGCATTCTCCTAACAGATGGAGAACTTGAGGTTATATCTGAGTTCAAGAAGCCTCTAAACTTGGCCCAGACTTCTAAAATGACTTTAGACGAATCATTTAACACACTGGCACCTCCTTTCTGCTGCTCTACAATGGAAATGATTTTTCTATGGATATTCTGAACTGTTTCCTTTGGCCTATAAGTATCTGAGCTGAAAATTAATCTGGGTGTGCACATGCAGTGAATCAAGCATTAATGTCAATTAGAATTCAAAATGCTACTTGATAATAGTTACAACATACTTAGTAAGAGGAAAATACTACAGGGAGTGATACATTCTAGTACAGTGATGAACTTACATTGGTGATGTGTGTGTTCCTTCATTTTAAAGGCATTCAGAAATAAGAAAGAAAATGTATAGTTGGTGATTCAAAATAGTACAGTGAATTATAGCCAGAAGAAACTATCATTTTAAGAAAACCCTTTCAGGAGAGAACCCCAGTCTTCTCACTATTGTAACACAAAAATTCACTTTTCGGCTATTTGAAATGTGTTACTATCTGACACAGATTTTCCATGATTCTTCAATCGACCTTCAAGGTTCAAATAGAATTCACGTGTTCTCTCTGCACACGAGCATTGGGAATATCAGCCTTCTTTCTGAGATATTTTTCAAACATTTCCAATTAACTGAAAACAGGAAAAACCCTGTTATCCCCGCTTTTTCTCAAGCTTCTGCCAGTTTCCAAAGGCAGATCGCTGTCATTACTGATCCTGGGCCGCCACCTGGTGGCATTTGGGAAAAGTAAATTCAAATTTCACTCGTGCATCCTTCCCAGTGCTCCCGGAGGACTGTAGGGCTGGACCCCTCCATCTCACATCCCGACAGTCAGGCAGGAGGAGAGGCAGAGATTATGGGATTTGTCCAAACCCTGTCGGCTGACTCTGTGTCTCTCCAAGGCAATGCACGAAAAGGCAAAGCCTTGCTGGGTCTCGCTGGTGGATTTGCAGTCTATTTTAGGTATTTTTATAGGTACATTCTCAAAGGTGAGAATACAAAGCTCTAACCAGTCATCATTGCCATATTCACAGCACAGGCATGAATTAGGAGAGAGCCCCTGATCCTCACTGTCCACCTGAGAGACTGAGGCTTAGGAGAATAAAGTACCCTGCCTATGGTCACACAGAAGGACACCAGCTACACTGATTAAATTGATTCAGCTGATTAAATTGGATCACAGAACCGTCTGGATTGTAAGGGACCTTTAAAGGTCACCTAGTCCAACTCCCTTGCAGTGGGCAGGGGCAACAATGAAAGAAGTAGAATTCTTAAAGATAATACATATTAGAAGGACTGGCCAAAAAAGCAGGTCATTGTAAAGACACGTAAAATATCACAATAGAAGAACTCCTGTGGCTTCATTTTAATTCTGCAATACCAATCCTTACGGAAATTAAATTAATATCTCTAAATCACTTACTATGCTTCCTGTCTGTAAGAAATTTAACCAAGCTTCAGATGATTAGAAATAGCAACTTTGAGGGTACTATTTGTTCTTGTTAATCAGATTTGTCATGTTTTGAGAAAAAAATGGGAAACGTATTTCTGTAGGGAAAAAGTGGTTCTGAGGGATGAGACAAGAAGGAACAAACAGTGAGAAACAGTCTTTTTTTTTCTGCAGTCCTTATAAAATTAAGGTGTCTGGAACCCTTCACTAGACAATGGTACAAGATTAATGAGTTCTGTGCTTGAATCTGGTTTTGTTTGAATATGGAAAAATGGATCCATAATAGTTATTTGTGACTAAATAAGTAACAAGGGCCTGACTGGGTGATTGCCTGGGGATATGTACGCAATCTAATTTAGTAATAATTTCCATCCCTCTCTGCTCAATGAACAAATAAACAACTCTTGCATGACAAGTAAATGCTGATGTAACACTAGCAACATTAATAGGAACTTATGGAAAATGTCACTACAAACAGACAAAATTTGAGATAAAAATTTTACTGTGGCTGTAGCATACAGTTCTAAATATATCCTGCTTAAAAATAAAAGGAAATGGGCTTTTAAATTTGTATTTGAACTTCTGCATTTTTGAATACAATATACTGTGAAATGCTTTGATCTCATTGTTCGCTGTTAGTTAGCCCTATTTTGCGGTATCTAACCAAAGAAAAGCAAATTGCATAATTGTCCTGAAGAAACTTCTGTTTCTGTTCTTTGGGTTTCTTGTCTGTGCTCTTCTTTACACAGGCCTTTGACTTCCTTATCTCTTCATAAGGATAACTTTACAAGAATCTATTTTGATTTTCTTGCAGTTCCCTAGACACTTTCTTCTTGGAGAACTCTTTAAGGCACTGTTGGGAGGAAAGGGTTAAAAGCAGAAGAGTGCAGAAGAGGATGTGAGATTCCAAGAGACCTTGCAGGTGGGAATGCTGAGGCCTGGAGATGGCCAGTGTGGGAATATACCCCTTAGGCTATGCCCATCAATGTCTATCCTCTGTCTGATTTGAGAAGTAGGATTTCTGTTTAGAGATAAGGTAGGTGTTTTGAGGGACTTGGAGGCACTCTCAGGGACATGCTTGAGCTCCCTGTTTTGGGAGAGAGAAGATCAGAGCTCAGAGATCATACAAAGCACAGAGATCACAACATGGTGGTAACCTACACAAGTGTGAGCCCTCAATAAGTGGGTGCAGAGAACAGCCCTGCCAATCCTCAGGATGGGCTGAGCCTGACAACTCCTGTGTTCCCACTGCTGTGTCCCTGCCCAGGTGTTGCTTTGGGATCCTCTGGTTAGCAAGGTAATGGAATAAATTTACTCTTTGCATTTCAGATGTAGTCTTGTGGATGCTCTGCCTGCCTGTGTCGACGCCCAACAGCACCTAAACACTCTTTATTTGCTCTTTGTCATTTTTTCTTAAAGGACTTTTAAGGAACACATCTGGATAAAATACACTGTTGTGATCCTCACAATGTCAGGTTACTACCTCCCTTTGGTGATAACTTTTCTGTAAGATTTTCTGTATACTGCAAAATACCTCCAGCCACCTCTTTACAACCTTGTACAAAACTTTGACAGGTGTAAGGTAAATTCACTTCTCATAGAATAGGCCGAGACAATCCTTAGCAACGAAGGAAAACCATAACCAGCTTTCTTATGAATTTAAACATTGACCAGGAAAGTGTTGCATAACCACATCACAAACCATCCAGGCTGAAGCCATCTTCCACCCTTAACTCTAACTAAACTACAGCCAGGGAAGCAGGATTCACAGAGATAAAAGGCACAACAGTGGGAGGCAATGTGACACTGCAGCCTAGCACGTCCATCATTTATCTGGGATAAATAATTCCTGTGTTTCAGCTCTTTGCCTTAAGGCTATTGTTGTGCTTCACATGAATTCTGAATATCTGTATCAATTTGGGATAATTGGATAATTTCCTTTTTTTTTTTTTTTTTTTTTTTTCCCTATAAGGAATATGAATAATGTCAATGGATATTTTACTACATTTTCAAGACTTTCATTGTCATTCAAATTCCTTTATATTCAGATTATTTTGGTCAGATGTTCAATTACTTGACAGAGCCTAAAACACAAATGTTCTGGTTTTAAAACGTGTGATATCAATATATACATGAATGAAAAATTAAAAAGATGTTTTTGAGTCTTAAGTATGCAAAATATCACCTCAGGCTACAAAGCATTTCATCCAATAAAATCTGAAAAGAATTTCAGAGGGATCATGAAATTCATCAGAGGAGAGATAATTAACATAACCCAATTAATGTCCTTGTTGTAGTGAGCTGTTTGCTAAGCAGTTGAGTGCACACTAGATGGCAGCCTGAGTATAGATGATTTCATCCTAACTGCTTGTTCTCCTCCAAGAAATGGTGAAATTGAGAAATATCCTTGGACTCAGTAGTGTGTTTTGGGAAAAATGGAACTGGATGATGGGCCAAAATACGGGATGCTTAGGTCTGCAATGTGCTTAGGTCCTCCCTGTGGTGTCACCACAGTGTAGGTAGCATTAAGCAGCGATAAATCTCATTCACAGATAAATGCAGGTAACACCAGTAACAAATGCTCTAAGAGCCAAGGGCAAAATAACCAAAATATTCAGGAATGAACTGTTTGCAGCTCAGATTTCACAACAAGGAAGTAAGACTTTCTGTGTGCCCCCTGCAGTATAGACAAGGAAAAAGATGAAGTAGCTGGTCAGGACAACCCAGCAGAAACACTTACAGATAAGATTTGATCTCCTCGCTGCAGTTCTCCACTGAGATCCGCTGGCCCACCTGCGAGGATGAAAGACACGAAAATGCCTTCCCCGTCTTCACCTCCCACAATGTTGAAACCAAGTCCTGTGGAGCCCTTGTGCAGGATGATTTTTCGAGGCTCTCTGTATAAAAACAAAATATAATGTTTAGGCTCTCAAACCTCTTACTGTGTATGCATTTTTCATAGCATCTTAAACAAACTATATGGCCTGCTATTGTCTAAAGAAACCATGACAAATGACAAAGCTGTTCATTAGTGAACAGATAAGGTAGGAATCAACCGGCATTATTTTTTTTCCCCTCATGGTTGAATTCAAACATCTCTATTAATTTCACCCCATTGGAGTCATCTTCACCATGTTAAATGACAAATTTATTAAAAGGAAAAACAAAACACTGAATATATTTAATAATCTATAGCAATACTATATATTCATGTAGAATCAAACTTTATATGGTACTGATTTAAGTTCTAGTCTTGCTTTTGCAACAAGTGAACAAAGAAAAAATGTGCAACTCCAAGAAAAGCAATGGCAGCTGTGTTTTATCCTGACAGATTAGGAGCGAACAACATCTATGTGATCAAGCTGATACAGCAGAATCTCACTAAAAAATTTGGTTTGACATTATCAGGATTGTGTATTTGTTAAGTCACACTGCAGCTTTGTCACTGAACCAGCCCAAGGGATACCTGCTTTTGCCATGCTCATTTAAAAAATATGAATTATGATAGAAATCAATAAATAATAAGAGGTCTATCTCACACAGCTCTTTTCATCTGTAAATTGAAAATATGACCCAGAGGATGTAAACATAACATGCAATTTACTGATGGGAATACTTATTTCCAGAAATAGATAACTTTCCTAAGCAATCAAAGTAGCATCCTTTGTAGTATGTAGTATGTAGTCTCTACATACAAGGCCTCAGAGCTGGCTCTCCCTTGGATACACAAGGACACATAACCACATAGACAAACACACATTCCATGTTTATTGGTACTTACCCCATTTCAAATCCCTCTAACAATTTAATTTTCAGTAAAAGTGTAAATGCTGTTGAATTATGATGCATAAATTTTAAGCCAAGCCCTGCAAGTCTCCCAAAAACATACATATGTCTGTGAGTGCTCCCAGAGAAATAGGATGCTCTATTCGTTCTTTAAGTTCAAAAATAAAAGTTGCCAGGAACAAAAACACACATTCTCCAGAATGCTTCTTGTATAAAAGATTCAGTATTTCCTCCATATTATAGCACAGTTCTGCATCACACAAATGGATCTTTCATTTCCGTTTTGTTTTTAAAGAACAGAGGAAAAAGGAAGAGAAGTGACTAAATTGAGGGATGCCTTATTTGATATGAGTTTAGTCTTATGGATACATGGAGACTTTATCTTGACATGATACTTCTGAAATCAAAGGCATTTTTTAACATTTCCCCAGTGCTAATATTCAAATGGTATATCCCCAGCTTGGTTATGATGTTAAAATAACATCTCAGCTTTCTGAAACCAAAGTTTTGTATTTTTGAAAAATAAGACTAAAGCAAAGTACTAGTCCTACTCCATATGGTCCTTCATCTCTTGACTTTTTTAACATTGTAAAGTCAGAAAACAGTTAAAAATACAGCTGTGAGCAAAAGATCTATTGTATTGAGTTTCTGTATTTTTGAAGTATTTTTAAGAATCAGAAAATAAAGGTAGAGATTTTTTTTCTTTTCCATCACTGCTGTTTGCTGTTGATTTGCCTTGTAGCAACTCCTTTAACACCTTGTTAAATATGTGCAGAGTAGACATAATGTGATCCAGAATCTAAGAAGTCCAAACAGGTTTTTAATTAGAAGTGTGGCCTGGGGGTTGGAGCAGAACTAGGACAGTGAGCTGAAAGCATGGTTTCTCTTCTCTGCTTAGCCCCTGCACTGCTGAGTGTTCTTGGCAACTCATTGGTTCTCCCAGCTTCAGCTTCCTCATCCACAAAATGATACGGTGACACTTGTCATCTTTGAATCATACATATCAGAAATACTTCGCAAGAGTTGAGCAACTGCCATTTATTATTTACCAGAATATTGAGAAAGAAGAGGCAGCAAAGTCAAACCAATGTATTTGCATGCTCTGCTGATGAGAAATCAGAAGAGATCTTATTCAAAATAAAAATGAGCATTTTCACATGTGACAGGCAACTTGGATCAAATAGTTGAAAGCCAAGGCCATGGGCAAAACTAGGTCAATACAACTGGGTATCTACTGAATAGTAAGCTGTGCTGCTCAACAAAATGTTGGCCCAGTTATTAATCCCTGTCTCTGAGCAAGTCAGCAGATTTATGCCTAAAATGCTGCCAGTGCTGTTTTATAATTTTGGCCTTTTGACAGCAAAATTCACATTCTGCTCTTGGATGATTATGTTCAGAGGAAGTTCAGACAATAACGGGAAAATGTCAGAGGCTGTGATTAGAATGCAATGTGTTTCTGCCCCTGCTCTTTTATCTAATCAGGTCGTTTTGGTTATGACTCAGATTTGGCTGAATAGAGGCTGACCATCCTTAACATGTCTTCGTATTTCTTTCATACCTGAGTACCCTGCAGAATCTGAAAGGTGGACTCAAGAACACATAAGCGCTGTTGTCATTATAAAAACAACCCTTAGCTATTACTGTACTACAAAAGCTATAGGAAGTAGAACGTATATGCCAATTCACCTTGATATCATAAATAAGTTTTAAAAACTATGAAATTGTTCACACTTGTGTACTGTACTTAGAATGACAAGGAAAAAAGGGTATGATGGTAAAAATATTGATAAAAAATTTATGAAGTTGAAGTAGAAAAAATATTTCATAAGGAAACCAACTAAAATACCACCACTGCCTGGGTAATCTTTTAAGAGTGATGCAGCAATTAATTCCCAGCAAATGCTTCATAAACACTCACTGAAACGTCTAAGCTGAAGATGATGTTGTTACGTATTTTATAACCTGGTGTAAAAGTTACAGTCAACACTTAATATGATATTTAAGGAGTTCTAGAAACAACTGTTCCAATTTTTCTTGAATATGTGGGAAATAACACTAGGAAAAATTCCTTTGCCTCTGTAAAAAATCTTTATTAATGTAGTTCCAGTATACATGAGAGAACTCAAGACAAAATGCAGATAAATGCTGTGAAGGAGGCGATGGAATCAAGTACTTAAAGATGACATGATGATGGGAGAGTTGAGAAGTGAAAGAAAAGTAACTCAAATGTTAATGATGCTTTTTTTGCAGTCAGTGCACTCGGAATGTGTAGTTGTCTGCAGAGAACAGCAACTAAGGCAGAACTTGTTTTAAAATGGGGGTGTTTGGGCACTGGAACAGGCTCCCCAGTGAAGTGGTCACAGCACCAGCCTGACAGAGTTCAAGGAGCATTTGGACAATGCTCTCAGGCACATGGTGTGACTCCTGGGGTGTCCTGTGCAGGGCAGGAGCTGGACTCAATGATCCTTGTGGGACCCTTCCAACTCAGGAATCATATTCTATGATTCTATGAAAATGTTTTATTTGGAGGCAATAGATGGCACTCTGTAGCTGCCCTGGAAAAAGGAGCAGTCTGCCATCCAGTGTCTCTGAAATTCATGTTTCAGCCTCCAGCTTTAACTATTTATCCCATTTACAATTTCTTCTGTGATAAATACAGCTGAAGGTAACTTTGTAGGTGCTAACAAAGCGTACTAGCACTTTAATTCGGTGTGTGCATGTTTTATACCCTCCTGCAGCTCTATAACACATACAAACAGAGCAGAGCAGCAGGGGAAATCAAGAAGAAATTAGAAAGGAGTGTGAGATGAAAACATTCCTGGACTGACAGAAGGCAGCAGAAGGGAGGGGGGAAAAAAGAAAAGGGAAAAAAGGAAAGAGGAAAGAAGAGAGAAATCAGAATAAAGGGAGACAGTGCCTCTGTAAAGGAGAACAGGGAAGGAAATTAAAAGGCAGGGAAAGAAGACAGGAAAATTTACATTAATAGATCCAGGAGTAAAGGAGCAAATAAAGTGCTGCAATCCACACAAATTTACAGGCTGAGAAATCAATGGCAGAATCAATTTGGATGGACTTGGTTACTTGCTTTAGGGAATGCATCAGATCTGATTCTATAAATCACATTATAAATTGCAGGCTTGATATAAGAGCAAAAGATTACTAACTTAATATTTGAAAACAATATGCAGTAACAAACCAGAGTGGGTAAAATGTCAACACTTAAGGAAATATCTTCTGTCATAAAAATGCAATGACCAAAAATAAATTGAAGTGCAGCATTTCTCTCCTTAACAAGTTTTTTTTTGGTTTATGCATGTTTAATTTGATCACTGTCTTGAAAACAGAAAGTGTTTTTATTTACTACATTTGTACTGAAAATTTGGTCTGATCAGTTTACTTTTAACAAACAGAAAATGACAAGACAAAAAATGGGAGTATTACTATCATTCTTCTATAGACTAGAATCCATAGTAATTACAGATCTAATTTAAGAGATTAAAACTGAACTGATAAATGATGGGGAAGTGCTTTCTAAAAACAAGTAATTCTTATAATAATTAACTGAAAGAAAATCCATTATTAAATTGATTATTTTGTGCTGCTCGCAACATTAAAGAAAAGTGTCAGTTTTAGTATTCATCTCACATTGACACAGCTCCGTCTTTCTGTTTCTTTTGTACCATCTATAAAATTGGAGTGCTGACACAGTTTTGTCCTTTTTGAAATACCTACAGAAATATTAAGCAACACTGGGTGCTTTCAAATATCAGACCCTAGGGATTTCTTCAGTTTTATACAATCCATGAGGTATCTCAAATCTGCAGAGGCTTAGAAATATGGCTTTAATCTTGATTTGACTGCAGGTTTGGGTTTTTTTGTTGTTTTTTTGCTATTTAATTTTTTTTCTTTTTGTTGCTGGTTTTTTGCTGTTCCACCTTCCCCCCAACTGCCATTTTTTTCAAAAAGGATGTTGAAAGCATACATACATTCATGCATATGTTGCTTTGGTGTTATAATAACATAGATCACAGAAATCCCAGAAGAATATTTATCTTACTGTTTGCATTAGGGCAGCATTAATATACAAGTCAGGGCCCACAACCTTTGTACG